GCTGAAAATCGAGTATTTGCACTAGTATAGCACGAAAAGCTCATTTCAAGTTGCTGAAAAACCCTCCTTTTTGACTTCATTCTTGAATTTTGCAAATATTGGGGAAAACAAGGCTCCATACATTAGGCCTGTTGTGCTCGTGCGGTCCGAACTGAACCACTGCTCGAGATTTTTTGGAGTGGAAAGGCTTTATCGTCCGAAAATGACATCGAGCAAAACCCCTCTATTTCCAGAAAAATCGGCACCAAAATGATCAGCATCATTTGGGAAACACAGCTATCTAATTTTTAATCACTTCTTACGCGATACAGCACGTTATTTGAGTCCTGAATGATTTAATTCCCAACGATTACCCTCTGGTTACAATTATAGCGAGATTCGCTCGCTAACGAGTGTCTTCAGGTACTTCGATGGAAAGCGGATTTCAATATTTGACTTTTTCAGTTTTTTAGGACATCATCTCATAGAACTCGACGAGCTGAGTCTAACAGCGTAAGTTTCTATATAAGAAAAGTTTACAGAAACGGTTATAGCAAAAAAAAACGAAAAAACGCGATTGGCGTTTTTTTTGCATTTTTCGAACAATTAGGGCGGATATCGTAGTTGTTTACCTTTGCCTCCTAACTGGCTTGAAGCTACCCTCTTTTCCTCGGAAGCTAGACTGTAAAGAAGCAATGAACTCGAAGTGATCTTTTTAAACCTAAATTTTCACCTGAACTTTCACATGAAACCCTATCATTGGTGATACCAAAATGATCACGGAATCAGGGCACATCATTGGTTGAGGAATCCCCATAGGGGGGGTCGTATTTGGCCGCCAGGAGAGGGGGGTCGTAATGAGGGCGGTAGCCAGTATCGAGCAGCGCAAAGGTCTCAGTGTGCTGAGTCCAGAGTAGCGGAACTCGCTTTGTAGAGAACTCGGATATGTAAAAGAAATAGTAGAAAACTTTCAACCATCAATTAATCCGAAATAACTGAAATTATTATTATAATAAGTCGACATATCTCCGCAAGTCCGTGATGACGAACAGCACAACTCTCATTACCTCTGGATTTTGTTTGCGGATGACTGCGGGTGAGCCGCGCCTGTCGCGCATTTACGCTTGGCGCTTGAAGGCACCTCTTTTTTTCCAAACAAACGACAGCGACTACCATTATTCGTTGGCGTACCAGAAGTTTTCCAGAGCAATTGTCTCCCTTTATCGGGACAGCAATTGGCGAGAAGCACACATTCTGCGGCGCACCGAGACGACGGCGTCGACACAGACACAAAGCTATGACGGACATTTTTGGAGTTACGTGTACTTTTTCGCTCTTTGATTTTTGCTGCTAGGTGAGGGAAGCAAAATTTTATGTGGCAATTCGTTCTCGCAAGTATGTACCGAATCCAACTAGACATCGCACGTGCATTCTGCAACTTTCCACACCTTATGTTTTTTTTCGACTGCAGCATGCCGTTTACTAACAGTTACATTTTCACTATGTTCTTCATGCCCAATGCTGCTTCTCGTTGAGTTATTGCACGGTTTAATCCATGCCATTGTCGCTGACAACTATACATTTTTTCTTACATAGAATGTCATTCATTTTTTCGTTTTCTCCTCACACATTTATCCCTACTAATGATAAACAATAATTGACATCATATGGCGACGTTTGAGATCGGTAATTCAGTAATAAACAACAACATATTGGCATTCGACTAGTAAACCATGCAATAGTATAATATATTACAATAATATAATATAATAGGTTCACCGGTTGGTGTTCTGGGTATGCCAAGCACAGATCAACCAAGAACTTTGTCTTCCCTGTACCGCACACTGCACGACACTGCGGTGGGGTTTGTCAGCGAGGACCTGCGGTGGAGACGAGGCGAACAGTAGAAGTCGTAAAAGTCGAATGAAGTCGATTGAACTGCACCTCACCAGCTTATCCCACCTTTATAGGCACGATTAGATAAGGGTACATTGATAAGATACATATAGCTACAGCTAGATACATATAGATCTACAAGATAGATCTTATCGCTTCCAGTGTAACAAAACAACAGGTTGAACAGGTGAAACGATAACAAAACCGATAACACAACAATTGATATCAACAATATACAATAAGTCGAATGAAGTCGATTGAACCTGCACCTCACCAGCTTACCCCACCTTTATAGGCACGATTAGATAAGGGTACATTGATAAGATACATATAGCGATAAGATAGATAAGATAGATCTTATCGCTTCCAGCACAACAAAACAACAGGTTGAACAGGATGAAACGATAACAAAACTGATAACACAACAATTGATATCAACACGCCTCCCCTTGGGAAGCCAGGCTCCGACGGCTTCTTGGATCATTTTATCTTCTTTCTTCCTATCTGCTTCATTAGGTGAGCGTGACGGTTGCGTTCGGCCTTGACATCTCGAATATACATGACGTGTGGCTTGACGATTCTTGGCTTCTTCTTCGGTGGCAGGTCCTTGTCGGCGTCGTGGCTTGTCCTTGTCGTATTGGTGGAACTTTTCTTGACTGAGCAGAATTCGGGCAATGACAGGGTGCTCATGGCAAACTTCCGCAAATGGTTGAGGAAGACTGCGATCTGCCAGGAGTGGAATCTGTCATCGCCGCGTCGCGCACTAACCCCGAGGCTTGTGGCTGGGTGTCCAAGAGGCAGTGTTTGGTCGATGGTTCCGTATGCATCGACGACTCCTGCATCGAATCCTCGAGCGGGTCCTGTTAGGACCTCCACCATCTCAGAGCACACCTTTTTTACAGCATGCCACATATCGCTACGACGTTCTTCATATAGTGGTGGGTAAATGTCTAGTGTTCCTCCACATTACAGACGATGCTCAAGAGCGTGCATGGCATGGTTTAGGTGAACCGTGGCTGGCATTTCGTTTTAGCAGAACGACAGCGGCGGAAATCGCACGCTTATTTAACTGAGCCGCAAGTCCATCGAATGTTGTGTAGACCATAATAGTGACCCTTTTCATCTTCCTCGATCTCTTTTTTGGCTCGAATGAAAGAAAGCGGCAAAGCTATTGTAGTTGGATTCGCCGGGGAATTGTCGTAGTCTTTAGGTATGTGATCCAGACGTTCGATGGCTTGTGCGTAGCACGACTCAATGTGATATCCTGGAAACGCAGGAATAGAGGAGGATGGACGATGCGTTTTCCTTTCACAATTCTCAGTGCCGTACTGAACGCGTAGCAGCTGGAACGATGGGCAGCGATTGCATGGGCGAGACCGAGTATTTCAGCTGTTTCGACTCTTTTGAGAGGAGCTCTTCCTCCTTACGTCGATCGCCCCAAAAGGGGTCAAGCATTATCGATGTGACGTTTGCAAGCTCAAACATGTTGTTGACCGGCTTTGAACGAGCTAGGTCGGAGCGGAGACATGGCAGGGCGGTTTGAGCTTTAGTGCGGAGGATGTTGCAGGTGCACGGGTGGAAGAGATGCAGCGGATCTTCCTGTTTTGGAATCGTTGTTCCTTCTGGTTTGCTCTGGCAAGCTGACCGTAACTCGAGTTACCTAAGCCTGCAAGGTCGAGCTCTTGCAATAGCTCCGGGAAAGGCTTGCGAAACTTCTGTGCGAAAAAAATTTGCGAGTCGCCCAAAAATTTGCCTTGCAAAACTGGTTTCCCGCCCACTAAGATTTACAGTGGATAGCTATCCGACTGACTTAGTGGTGCTACCCCACGGTAGCTCTCCAGCTCCACCGCGATTAGCGGCACGTGAGCTGTTTGCAAAGTTAGGAAGCTAGAGTGCAACTCCACTCCGCTTCCAAGTGCAGTAGAGGGATGGCAAGGTTCGGCCCCCAAGTAGGTTCTCCGGTTGGTGTCCTGGGTATGCCAAGCACAGATCAACCAAGAACTTTATCTTCCCTGTACCGCACACTGCACGACACTGGGGTGGGGCTTGCTGGCGAGGACCGGTGGAGACGAGGCGAAAGTAGAAGTCGTAAAAGTCGAATGAAGTCGATTGAACTGCACCTCACCAGCTTACCCCACCTTTATAGGCACGATTAGATAAGGGTACATTGATAAGATACATATAGCTACAGCTAGATACATATAAGATCTATAAGATAGATCTTATCGCTTCCAGCGCAACAAAACAACAGGTTGAACAGGTGAAACGATAACAAAACCGATAACACAACAATTGATATCAACAATATACAATAAGTCGAATGAAGTCGATTGACCTGCACCTCACCAGCTTACCCCACCTTTATAGGACGATTAGATAAGGGTACATTGATAAGATACATATAGCGATAAGATAGATAAGATAGATCTTATCGCTTCCAGCACAACAAAACAACAGGTTGAACAGGTGAAACGATAACAAAACTGATAACACAACAATTGATATCAACACGCCTCCCCTTGGGAAGCCAGGCTCCGACGGCTTCTTGGATCATTTTATCTTCTTTCTTCCTATCTGCTTCATTAGGTGAGCGTGACGGTTGCGTTCGGCTTGACATCTCGAATATACATGACGTGGGGCTTGACGATTCTTGGCTTCTTCTTCGGTGGCAGGTCCTTGTCGGCGTCGTGGCTTCTCCTTGTCGTATTGGTGGAACTTTTCTTGACTGAATTCGGGCAATGACAGGGTGCTCATGGCAAACTTCCGCAAATGGTTGAGGAAGACTGCGATCTGCCAGGAGTGGAATCTGTCATCGCCGCGTCGCGCACTAACCCCGAGGCTTGTGGCTGGGTGTCCAAGAGGCAGTGTTTGGTCGATGGTTCCGTATGCATCGACGACTCCTGCATCGAATCCTCGAGCGGGTCCTGTTAGGACCTCCACCATCTCAGAGCACACCTTTTTTACAGCATGCCACATATCGCTACGACGTTCTTCATATAGTGGTGGGTAAATGTCTAGTGTTCCTCCACATTACAGACGATGCTCAAGAGCGTGCATGGCATGGTTTAGGTGAACCGTGGCTGGCATTTCGTTTTAGCAGAACGACAGCGGCGGAAATCGCACGCTTATTTAACTGAGCCGCAAGTCCATCGAATGTTGTGTAGACCATAATAGTGACCCTTTTCATCTTCCTCGATCTCTTTTTTGGCTCGAATGAAAGAAAGCGGCAAAGCTATTGTAGTTGGATTCGCCGGGGAATTGTCGTAGTCTTTAGGTATGTGATCCAGACGTTCGATGGCTTGTGCGTAGCACGACTCAATGTGATATCCTGGAAACGCAGGAATAGAGGAGGATGGACGATGCGTTTTCCTTTCACAATTCTCAGTGCCGTACTGAACGCGTAGCAGCTGGAACGACGGGCAGCGATTGCATGGGCGAGACCGAGTATTTCAGCTGTTTCGACTCTTTTGAGATTAGCTCTTCCTCCTTACGTCGATCGCCCCAAAAGGGGTCAAGCATTATCGATGCGACGTTTGCAAGCTCAAACATGTTGTTGACCGGCTTTGAACGAGCTAGGTCACTCATGAAGCTTTCTTAATGCCCCCCCATATCAAAATCGAAACAGTATGCACACCTCAAACCTTTGTCGTAAGCATCATGAACAGAGACGAAGCGCGCTCCGAAACGACCGTCATTCAAGCCAACGAGTGGTGAAAAGCCAGCGAGTCCCGGCAAGAAGATGTGGTCCTGCAACGGATCTATCCTTTACTGTTCTAAGGAAGACTACAAGCATGATAAGCATGATATGTCAGCGACTGAGCTACCTTAATCAGCATAAGATCTCCATATTTGAACTTTGGGTTCACTCCTCCAGCAGCATTGGAAACCACCAATCGCGTGACTCCCAACTGGTGCATAACTCTCACTGGGAATGCGCACTAAAAAAATAAACAGATTACTGAAAATGGACTACTGAGCCATTATTATGGAGCCTTTCCGAGGTCTCACGTACCAGAGCCAGATTCATATTGTGCTCATAGGGATGGAAACGTCCTTGCATGCAAACAACTTTCTTTCCACCCAAATGTCCGAAAATCAGATTGCCTTTGTGTCCGACAACTGAAATAGGGATAGAACTGAACATTAACAGAGTTTTCATATTATATCGTCGGGTAGAGGAGATGCTCGAGACCCCTTGCATTAATTCCTGGGCAAAACTCGGATTTGTCTTATCACATAAACTTTCACTCGAAATTTTTGAAACCGCACTCTCATCAGAATGATGTGCAAAACACCGTTGGTATTCAAGGTGATGTGACAGCTGTGCGTTCAACAGTGCATACTATTGAAGAAGGCTATGGATCAGTAACTTGCAGTTAGAAGAACACGGTTCACGGGAATGCGAGAACTCGGTTTCTCAAACAACATCAGTTTTCAGCTCTCGCGTGCCACCATCTTCTTTAGTTCTTGATCACTGTAAGACTGCGTTCATATTTCGTCCACCAGCGACGGGGGTAAATGTATAAGGAAAGACAACGGTAGCAAACAGCCGGATCAGGGGTCGTGACATTGCGGCGTGTGCAACCGCACCGCACAAATGCTAAAGCACAGAATTATGCAATTTAATGTAGTGTAGTGTAGTTGTGGCAGGAGGTGGTGTAGTGACAAGTGGCGCGCTCACCACTCGCGCGGTCCTGGGTTCAAATCCCGGGTCGACTTCCCGCCAGGCCAACCAAGCCTTCTACCCTCCGGGGACGGTGAATTGGTACCAGATTCGTCTGGGAGGATAAAACACTGACTGTGGCCCCCGCAAGTCATTGTATAGGCCACATCGCACTTAAAGCCACTACGATTCTGAATGGAAGTAGAATGCGTGCCGCATCCCACAAAGGGATTGCCTAACGGCGAAGACTTTATCCTTTGTTCTTTCCAGTGTAGTTGTAGTTTTAGTGTAGTTCGGTTACGTACGTCACAATTTCACGACGCCTGATCCAGCAGTTTGCTGCTCTCCTACTTCCCCATGGTCTCTAATCCCGCTTATTGTGAACGCTGGTGGACGCTAGATCCATATTTATACTTCCCTAGCCGGACGCTAACGCTAGTGGCCGGCGGTGGACGCTGGTAGACGCCGATGGACGCAGCCCAATCTCGCATTTTCACGTACAATACCGCCCCTAATTTTTGTAAAATCGAACCGTCGCATTGCCATAACTTCCGTAGAAGTGGTTGAAATGATCTGAAAATTAGACCAGTCGATAGCCGTGCTCATTGTGAATCTAACTGTGTACAAATCTTCTGAATTTTCCTAATATTTCTAACTGATTCTAAGGGAAAACCACGATTGAGTCTCCAGTCACCTAAGGTGTTACCTGCGGATATGGCCATGTCGTAAACCCTCCACTTGGACCATGATTTTGGAAGGGTATAACTGCCTCTGGTCTCTTTCTTTAGGTTCGGTGACACTTAACGCTGGTTACAGGGCCATTTTGAACCACTATGAAGTTCTAGCCGACAGTATGATATAAAATTTCAGCCTTACAAAAGGCGATTTTTTTCGATTTCTACGCTCCCCATGAGAGTGAGACCACCCTGCAGGTCTGACATGTAGGAAACTGTGCATGAAAGACTGACTTGATCTTTGTACGTGTGGACCCATTTCATCATAGGGGTTGGGTGGGGAGTGATAAAAGCGCTTTATCTTGAACGTGGCGTTTTTATGGCACAACCCCATATCAGGGGCAAGTAATGCCATAGAACAATGAAAAAAGACCACCAGTACCTCAGCTGGAGATTCGTATTGTGGACCTCCAGACATCACATAGATTCCTTCATACAGCTGGATGCCCTGTCTTTTGGCGATGTCCTTTGCGAGTTTTCTGAACACATATGATTTTGACTTATCAGGTTGAGCTGATCTAATTGATTGAAGAAAATGAAAGAGAAAAAAATCTGTGATGCTATCAGAGGCGTAGCAAAAGGCGATTGTACGGGTGCATTCAGGCCTGCTATTCGGCCTCTCTCACTGACAAGCTCCATCATCTTAGAAGGAAGGGGGAGGGACGATACAATGGTATGCCTAACCCCACCCTTCCGCGTTTGAATGGGGTGCATGCGTGTCTTTAGCAGGTAGTCCAGTCTGCTGACACAGAGAATGTACTGTTCTCTACGCGGTTCAGAATTATACGTGGTAACGATGCCATGCGCTCACGATGAGCACGGAAGGTGGAGGTTGGGCGTGGCATGTGGCGGTGAGCTCCGCCCACCGCCACATGTCACGCCCAACCTTCACTTCCATCGAAGCCAAGATCTTTCAGTTGTTTTGCCATTAACTAATTCCATTTCGACTGATGCGAGTGGGGACAGTTCATCTGAGCACACTCTCTACTCACTGTTCTCGTGAAAGCACGGATCGAAAAGAATCCGGTTTCATTCACTTGTCTCTTCACTACTAAATAATTACCAATTTTTCAACAGTATTCGAGGTCCTCTACCCACCAATTTGGATCTCAAGATGGGCCTTGAAGCATAAACGGTTCAGATGTAAATGGTATCAAAAGAGACTGTTAAGAAAAGACTCATGAAGCTGTTAAGAAAAGAGCTCAGTACATTCTCTGTGTCAGCAGACTGGACTACCTGCTAAAGACACGCACGCACCCCATTCAAACGCGGAAGGGTGGGGTTAGGCATACCATTGTATCGTCCCTCCCCCTTCCTTCTAAGATGATGGAGCTTGTCAGTGAGAGAGGCCGAATAGCAGGCCTGAATGCACCCGTACAATCGCCTTTTGCTCCGCCTCTGATAGCATCACAGATTTTTTTCTCTTTCATTTTCTTCAATCAATTAGATCAGCTCAACCTGATAAGTCAAAATCATATGTGTTCAGAAAACTCGCAAAGGACATCGCCAAAAGACAGGGCATCCAGCTGTATGAAGGAATCTATGTGATGTCTGGAGGTCCACAATACGAATCTCCAGCTGAGGTACTGGTGGTTTTTTTCCATTGTTCTATGGCATTCACTTGCCCCTGATATGGGGTTGTGCCATAAAAACGCCACGTTCAAGATAAAGCGCTTTTATCACTCCCCACCCAACCCCTATGATGAAATGGGTCCACACGTACAAAGATCAAGTCAGTCTTTCATGCACAGTTTCCCACATGTCAGACCTGCAGGGTGGTCTCACTCTCATGGGGAGCGTAGAAATCGAAAAAAATCGCCTTTTGTAAGGCTGAAATTTTATATCATACTGTCGGCTAGAACTTCATAGTGGTTCAAAATGGCCCTGTAACCAGCGTTAAGTGTCACCGAACCTAAAGAAAGAGACCATGAGGCAGTTTTACCCTTCCAAATTCTCACATCTCCTCTCAGAAACTCTACTTCCATTTAACTATTCGAACGAGTAGCTCGATTTGGAAGCTAACCCTTGACCCTTGGGTGATCCTTTTGCTATAATAGTACCTTCAGAATGCTTCTATTGCCCTTTGAGAAAAATCTAGTCATTGACATCTTGAACTTTTGTGCATGGTCCTGTTACGAAACCCTGTGACGCAGACGGATAGAGGGCAGCGGCTGCCAAAGCATCGAAACGTGCAAAAAACGTATGGCGAGCCAGGAAACGGGTTTTTCAAGGGGAGGGGACTCCGGAGTGGGATTTATAGTTGGTGAGAAACTGGAGTGAGAGAAGTCACAACGGCCATAGAGTGCCATGCGGACGAGAGAGTGCAGAGAAAAAGAGAAGATTGTTGCGTTCAAAGGGATCGAATTCAAGTTGTCCGTAGACCTTTAATTCCTAAATCGCTCACTGCCCGGTAACCAGTGTAGAGTGAGGCAGTTGGAGGTATTTGCTGACTTGCAAATATTGGTAGTAGTCGGTGTTCCGTTGCGAGCTTGCTTTTGCTCAGGCACGAAAATTAGGCAACATTTCTCGCTTAGTTTTGAGTCTCACAGTGAAGTTGCTATGAAGTAGGGATTGAAATGATGCAGGTTTCAAGCAAACGATCTGTTGATTCTCTTCCTAGGACCACTTTGGAACGAGTTGCGCAGTGACGTTCTGATCTTTGTCCACTTTTCGCTATGCTGGATGACTGGTAGACGTCTGGTACACGTTAGCACTACGGAGGCAGGATAAAAGAAATTAATGAGCAAATTTTTCTGTCCTTAGGATTACCCCTCCCTCTCAGCCAAAGCGGAGGCTTGGACAGACAGCCGATGATTTGTCTGACGCTGTGAAACTGGGACGTTATCTCCCACTGGTGAATCAGTGAGGACGGGGACTATGTAGAAGGGGTCTAAACAATTCAAGCAAACAAGCCATTTGAATCAAAAACCAACAGCAAACCACAAACAAACAGGCCAAAAACAACCATCTTTCATTGCATACTGACTGGAACCGATCCTCTCCCCCACTCCCTCACGGTGCTTCCACTTCCAGTAATGACGTACAATGGATATCCGGAGATGGGGAGGGCGTGACCGCGTACTTGGTTTGAACGTGGCGGCAGTGGCAATCTTGCGTGAGATATTGTCTTCTGGGCAGTCATAACCATGACTTTGTCCAGCACAAAACAAAACGACAGTTGTCTCAAACTTTGATATCTAACAAAAAACGCATTCTCCACATGACCAATGCACGCAGCCCTCTCCATCTCCGGGACAGTGGGTGTGCACTGTTCTGCATCAGGAGGGCCCTAAAGAATATGTCATGTCGGAACAACCAATTACCCCATGAATCAAGCAATCTTGTTGCGAAGCCTCAAAGGAGGCTGTGGGCTCTTTGTGTGTGGGTTATGGCTAGTTTATTTGTTCGCAACTCTAATCCACAGCAAGAAAATTTGGTCGATCTTTGGTCACAAACTGTGAAGACAATGGCGAACATCGCTCTATCATTTCATCTCTTGAACACTTGAAGCATGTTCGATAAGAGCGCCAGCATTTAGTGCCCGATTAATTCAGCGGAAGCATAATCAAGCAATTTCTTATCGCGGGACCATCACATTTCCTTTGTATGGGCTGGGTTATCTGTATCGGGTTATATCTCCCTGTAGTTACGAGAACTGTAAATTCCTTTTAGGTTATCTACGTCATGTCATGAGTAAACTGTGAAAATGCTGACAAAGTGAACGCGATAATACGGAGCTTTTCCTGGTTCATAGTCTAGAAACAAAAACTGGTCCCCACTAAAAGGAAGGGGAGGGGGACGAGCAATCAGTTTAGCGATTGATCGTAACGGAGTGCTAATGCTTTCGAACAGCAGCTCATTCAGTTGATGGTCGAGTAGTTCGAGCAGAAGCAAGAACAGGGCCTCCTGTAGGGAGTATCAACCTGCTAACTCTTGAACTCTACTCCACTCTCTACGGCAGTTTTCGGAAAAAGCGAGAATCATGGAAAAAAAGCTACCCAAAAAGTGATAGGAAGCAGGAACAATCCAAAGAGATTGGTAGGTAAGATGTGGATAGAGGAGGGGTCGTACTCGGAGAAACTTTCGATAGGTCACGGTCTATTCCCGCGAAAGTCTTTTCCAGCCTCAGAACGTGTAACGGCACCGCGGGCGAGGAACGATATCAATGTCACTCCCGCGCAAAGACCTCTGCCTGTAGAAAGAGCCGGACTTTTTCTTCTAATTCTTTCCACATTCGATTGAAGCCATATTATTTATGCTTACTCCTTGGGTGGAACATTACAGGGCAACCTACATAAGTCATCCTGAACAAAAAGCAAAAAGACCTCAAAAATGTGGGCAAAGTAGTGAGGCAGGGCAAGATGTGCAACAGTGCATGTCGGGATACGGGGAGGCGGGAGGGTGGGCATTTTGCACTCCCATTAGTTCCGCTGATTAAATTCAATAAACACCTGAAAATTATGTCAGACTGCGGGGGAAGACACTCAACAACTGTTTTCGATAGTCTAGATTACGTCTTGGGATTCTTTGGTACTTCCAAGGGGAGTGACAAAAAATCGCAAGTCGCCACGCTGGTGTGTGTGGCCAGCGATTTCGCTCGCTTCTGGCGGCACGTAGGTTGTTCGCAGCCTTATATGCGATATTCAATGTCAACTCTTCCTAGAGTAAAAGTAGAACAAATGTGTAGGAGTGACCATAAGTTGGGAATGTAAGCTTACCTTTTGTTGTGAAACATCGTAGTTAACTACTGCGCCTGCATACTTCCGCAGGATGCGTCGCGCACGACGGCGCGGCGGACTGTGTTTATCTTGGCAGTCCTCCGTTCCACTTGATATTGTCAAAATCACAAGAAGTCCATTG